CATATATTATAATTATAACATATATTATTTATTATAATTATAATATATGTATAAAATATATATTATTTATTATAATCATAATATGTATAACATATATATTTATTATATTTATTATTGTTATTAGTATTATTACTATTAGTTTCCCGCAAAAACGTGAAGAAAGTGTGACAACTTTGCCGAAACATGTTGTTTGAGCTTTCACGGTGTCCGTAGTTCCTCAGACAAGCGCGCCGAACAAGCGCGTGCTTGCTACGCGCGTGCTTTCTCAGTGCTCATCACGAGCACGCGCCTATTTTGCCGCGTGGGCGGGGCGGAGCGGCAAGAAGACGAAGGGGGAACCGTATCTGACGTAACACCGGCTTGTGGCGGCTCCTGCGTCACACACTGACATAATTTCCTTTGCTACAGGAAGGGAACAATTGTCGTTGGAGTTTGGAGGAGATGCAATCTATCCAGTTGCATTTAAGGGCATTTCAGGTTTTGGACATTTCCCATACGTTTTCTGTTTAAGATACCAGTAGGCAGAAGTCGGCATTCGTTATTTGTGATGGTGTTAAAGCTTTTGTTCGTTCAGCTTCTTATCATTAGATAGCTTAACTTTGTTGATTTGTTGTGTATGTAGAGTATTTAGTCTCTTTTCTGCACCAGTGAGTGTGGGACAGAGTCTGTACAACCATGACTAACCACCTGCCGTATCTCTGGAATCTGCATTTGTAAACAGAACTTATAGCGTCATTTAGTATGGAACCTTTTGATGGGTCATTGACTTCACAAATTAAATGAAAATGTCTTTGTGTGTGAAATAATTAGCGTGATGTTCTGATATCTCTTATAATTCCGGCTGGAGATGTATTTGGTTGTAAGAGTGGTAATGTTTAGGGGAGGAGAGGGTAGCACCACCATCTTGGCAGCTCTGGCCTTTTCTTCAGACACACTGTTGTGAAAGATTATTCTAAATGATCTGATGTGTTTATCTTTATTTTTCTCACAACTATAACCCAGTCTATTCTAAACCATTATTTTTGTGCTACTATTTTTTCCTCCAGTCATCCATATTTCTCCTTCTGTCCCTGTCAGATATTGCATTTTTACTGTTATCTTTATAAGACCTGAAGAATGCAAGTATTTCCTTCTCTGTTGGTTGAAAGGTTGGTGATTACAGGTCTGTTAATGTAATCAGTCATTGAGACCAAAGTAAACAACAAAATAATGTTTTTCTTCTATAATGACGTACAGTGACCTGTATGAGAACAATGAAGTTTGTGTGTTTCATAAATTAATCCATTTGCTACTGCGAAAATGTAGCATACCTGTGGATTAAGAAAATTGAATATGTTCAGTACAGTGATCCCTCGCTATAACGCGGATCACCTTTCGCGGTCTCGCTGCTTCGCGGATTTATTTTGTGCAGTTTTTTTTCACAGTGCATTGTGTTCTGCGTCCTGATTGGCTAAACAGCCTACACGCTTCTTCTCTACCTGTGTGCCAATAACATTACAGTATTTAACTATATGTAATACAGCTTGGCCATTCAGGAGATGGAAACTAAAACTTTGAATGTCTGCTGGAAAAAAAACTGTAGCCAGAGGCAGTGCAAAGCCTGACCGGAGGCTTGCTTGACGAGATCCATCGCTCTGCCATACATACAGCTGTGAATCTTGCAAAACATCTTGGAGGAGACGGCTTTAATGACATGACTCCGGATGACATTAAGGCCCGATTGATGCACACGCACATCCGCTGACCTGAAAACAGGTTTTGTTCTTTGGTTTCAATGTCGAGTATTTAATTATGCTGTATAATAATAATAATAATAATAAAAAAATAAAGGTAACTACTTAACGGATTTTGCTTATTACGGGTTCTTTTCAACCCCTGCGAAAAATGAGGGTTCACTGTATTTCTCTCATTCCAGAAATTGAAAGTTTATGTAAGTGTGATGAATTTATTTTATAATTTCATTACACCTAGAGTGAAATATTTCAAGTCTATTTTTCTTCTAATTTTGTTGTGATTTTTGGCCTACAAAATTAGTGCATGAGCTATTGCATAAGAACAAACATATTTTTTTAATAATAATAATAATAATAATAATACATTTTATTTATAGGCGCCTTTTTGGACACCCAAGGTCACCTTGACATAAAACAAGTTATAAAATACATACCGGTAATAAAACAAACAAAATTTATAAGACAGTACAAAGGTAATTAAAAGCTGTATGCTAGTTCAAACAAATGGGTTTTTAGTTTGGACTTAAAATATTGCAAAGACTCAATGTTACGGAGATCAGGTGGGAGTGAGTTCCAGAGTTTGGGAGCAGAGCAGCTGAATGCTCTGCTTCCCATAGTGACAAGACGAGCAGGGGGATCGGTGAGATGGACAGAGGAAGAGGATCTGAGGAGACTGGTGGGTGTGGCAATGTGAAGGAGGTCCGAGAGATATGAAGGTGTGTTAAAAGCTCGACATTTTTAAAAAAAATCATTTCTAATTCTGACAAGAAATAAAAGTTTGAAATATTTTACTCTGTGTAATATGAGTTTCAGTTTTTGAAATAAGTGACAAAAATTATGGAAGTTTTTACAGTATTCTAAAGTTTTGAGGTGTAGCCCACTTGGAAATTGTTCTTCGCTAATTTGCGCTTGTTTGCAGATAGCTTTCGTCTCAATACCTAAATATGTAATCAGACTTTTTAAAACAGGCCTATAATTGTTTTAATACTGTTTTTCAAGTAAAGTTTAATGTAATTAAAATGACTTAATTTACCATTACTGTGGACTGGGGCTTAACTAAATGTGGCTTTGGAAATTACAGAGGACATTACAAAGCATTCTGTGGCATGATGAACTACCAAATGTTACTGTTAAGGTTTTTATGTAACAGTAAATCGAATGCTATATCATACTGATATGTTGTAGAAATTTCACAAATGTGTAACAAAGTGACATTTGCTAACTGTTTGTAGGGCAACATGCTGCTAACTGTTAGAATATATGCATGCTAACACTCAGAAAGTTGCCATGTAAACAGCCCTTATTTTTTCTTTCAACTACTTTATATCTTTTTCAAACACTTGTACCTGATGCTCTGGCTGGGATTTGTGAGATTTGTGTTGTTTGAAGATTAAATGACCTAACCAAATCACTTGTACCAACTGATTTAGTCTAGGCCAAGCTTGAACTAGTAGTTAGCTTCAGCTTTGGTGAAAAAGTCAGGGGTTAGACAGCCATTTTTCCAATATATGAATTCTAACATGTAGAGAGCAAAAACAGTAGTGGTGTTTGTGTCTCCAGGGCAGCTTTGTGGGGATGGCTGGTACCACGTCGAGGACGTCTGCCTGAGGATTAACTCCAACAGGGGGAGCTATGATAACGCACAGCACTACTGCAAAAGCCTGGGAGGAAATATAGCCTCTCTGCTCACAGACAATCAAGTTGGTTTTGTTCTGGACGAGCTACACAAGTATCAGCTGGAAAATCAGGTGGGTGCCTGTTTTAAATCCAACAAATAATGCACCAGGACCTGGCCCATTATTTCTACTGGTGCGGCCTGATCCATTTTATTTGTGAGCATTAATTGTTGAGACTGGATTTCATCTCAGTAAACACTTTGTTTAATTCTAAATATAATGTATTTGACAAATATTTGTCTGAAAAGATGAAGTAAATTAGGACTATTTGTTTTTGTCCATCTTTATGAAGATGAAGTTCTGTCATGTAGTGTGGTTGTGAGTGGTGAGGGAGACGCCGGTGAAACCAGGTAGTCATGATGAAAATTATGATTTAATGACGAACCAGGAGAACAACTCAAAATCCAAAAATCACTGGCAGCACAGGGGATAGAAACAGACGTTAGACGAGGACCCGACAAGAGACAAAGACAACAGGTGGGTTTAAATACAAGGGAGGTAAACAAGGGAACGAGACACACCTGGGAACAATCAACGTGGAAACGCAGAGACAGAGACTCACAGGGAAACAGGATAACAAATAAACATGGAAACTACTCAAAAATAAACAGAAAACTACCGATCCTGACACCTTCATCTTTACGTTTACTTTTTCTTAAACATATTAGAAAATATATAAATATGTCTGAGATCTACTCTTCCTCAAATAACATATTTAAAGACGTCTTTTGAAATTAAATGTCTCAGTTTGGAAAACTTGAAACCTTTCGGCATGGGAAAAAAGGTTGGTGTATACAAAGTCAGAGAGAAACAATTACTAATCATTTAATGAATTATTGAAATGAAAGTTCATTAATGTGAACAGGTCTCATGTGTACCTTGGAGTTTATTCTTTAAAATGTTGGACACCCTGCTGTTTGATTCATTGCTAACAGCTAAACCGCCTGTTACGCTAACATCATAAATTTGTAATGTTTTATAATTAGATGCCAAGGTATGTTTAGTCCAGAGATTATATAAACACTTATTTCAAATGATCATGTAGCAGGAACCAATAAATAATAAACCAGTCTGGGTGGATTATTTTTCTGTCTTGCATAATTCAGCATTACTGACTTCATATGACGAATCATAGATCATGTTAAAGTTTTTAAATGTTTGAGCTTGTACCACACAGCTCCTCTGGATTCTCAGTTCTGAGAAAAGGTACTTTTTTTCAGTTTCATATTTATATTTAAGTTTTGACCGTGATTTAGCTGCTCTGAAGAACTGATTGCAATAAAGAAGAGAAAAACTGTGCAGCTGATCAGCTTTCTGACAGAGCTGCAGTTTAGTATTGACACTGTGAAACACCGGAACTACATAATATTAGCTTGTGATGTGAATTTTATTTTCCTTTTGGATTAAAAAAAAAAAAAAAAAGTTCATGCTTGGCTAGTGGTTTACATCTTTTGACTGCATTGCCTAAATTCAAAAGTCTGCATATTTAAAAAAGAAATAATGTGCCACAATATAATTATATTTATACATATAGAGAAAATTCTTTATCATTATGTTTGGGCCAGAAATAAATTTCTGTAAGATAAAATGAAATATGGGCTTTTTTTTGAGTCCATCAGAACCTGAAGCTTGAGGTTCTCCATTGGTGAATATTGCTCAGCAATGGAGAACAAACATCAGTGGAGAATTGGTTGACCACAGCTGCTGCTACACCATAGTGAGGAACAGAGCGTATAATGGAAAAGCTCACCGCCTGGGTGACAACCAGGGGTGAAAGTAGGAAAGTAGTTTTAAATTGTTGGGGATACTATGACAAAAAAACAAAACATCTTCTTTGTGTGCTTTGGAGTTTCTGTGCTGATCATTTTTTTGTGAAGCGATAAAAGCTGGGTAGCTCTTGTGAATTGCTACAAAATAAAGCTGTATTTCCCTCAGCCCACTGGCTGCAATGTTGGCAC